CTCTTTCTCTCTCTCTCTCTCTCTTTCTCTCTCTCTCTGACTCTTCCCAGCAAGTGCACCCGCTCTACAGTGAAATAAAAAGAATTTTAAAAAACACATTCATACCAAAGTGTGAAAGAACTAAAAGTATTGCCTATTGACCTCCTGGGAATATTTTCTACCCAAAAAAGGCCTATTAATTCTACTCAGCAATGAAAAAGAATATGGGGCCAGCCCCAATGCCTAGTCATTAAAGAAGCTAGATCCCACATGGCTGATTATAGATGGAATCCTGGCCCTGGTGGCTTGAAAACCATGCTAGGTGCGGGCCGGCAGATGCTGTGGTGGTTACAGGCACCAGATTCCTACATGGCTCACTGGAGTTTAAGTCCCTGACCTGTCAGCTTGCTTTCTCACTTTCCCTCTCTCTCTCTTGCTCACTCTGTCCCTCTCTGGTCAAGTTAAAATAAATAAAGTTAAATAATTCTTTAAACACACACACACACACACACACACACTAGGTGCATGTGTGTACATACCCAAAATCCTGACAGGAAGGAGAAATAGAAGAGAAGGCATTGCAGTGTGACCATGTCAACCCCCTTACCATCACCACCCCCTGCCCCATGAGTGCTTGTGCCCTCTGGCCAAAAGAACAATAATAATCACAATAAAATTATAAAGGAATAAACAGTTGCACACAACAGCATGGATAAATCCCAAAAGCACCATGCCAAGCAGGAGAGTAAAGGAGTACTTACTGAACGCCTAAAGTTGTATAAAATTCTACGACAGGCAAAACTGGTCTGCGAGGACAGAACAGTGGTTCTTTGTGGCAAGAGATGGGGCCTGAGGGCTTCCCACAAAGGGGCAGGAAGGAGCATTTTTAGAGTGATAAAAATGTTTTGTATATTCATGGTGACAGTGGTTCCACAGCTGTCTGCATTTGACAAAACTCGGCGAACTGGAGTTCTGTGAGACTGACCCCCATGGGAAGGATCTGGATCCACAAGCGGAGACCTCCCTCAGTGTACCAGGTACAGATGAGCCCATGATCCAGGCTGGGGGTAAAGCGTGGTGTTAAGACCCTGTAGGAGGTGCTATTTCTGTCTTTCTGTGTCACTTGCTCAGGGGAGCAATAAATAAACTTTTAAAAACTTAACAAACTGGTAGGTCAGCCAGTGGTGTGGTGGTTGAAGCAGCTGGATCCCACGTAGCCAACTGTGCAGTTCAGATCCTGGATCCAGGGGCTTAAAAAACTCTCTGAGAGTGTGTGCATGTATGCTCAAAATCCCAAGAGAATGGAGAATGGATTGTGTCATGGTCAGCCCCACTGGGGAGGGCAGATGCATGTGCCCTGGAGCAAAAATTAAACATTTGAAAAATAAACATAAACAAACTGGGGGCTGCCCAGAGCCTGGTATTAATAGCTAAGCACTGTGCATTGGAAACTGGATCCTGCATGGTTGACTGAGGTTCAACTCTTGATCCCAACAGCTTGAAAAACATGCTAGGTGTGTGCGCACGTGTGTCCAAGATTCCAGCAGGATAGAGAAATGAAGGGAAAAGGATTGCAGCTTGACCACACCCCACTGGTGTTTGTTTGTTTGTTTGTTTGTTTGTTTGTTTGTTTCCTTTCCCTCTCTCTCTAGTGACCACATGCACCCTCTGGTTTAAAAAAAAAAAAAAAAAAGTTGATTTTTTTTTTTTAAAGAAGTTCTATTAAAGAGCATGATACATAATACTAAATGATGTTATTACTGAAGGTAGAATTCTAAGGAAGCTGAAGGATGACAAGGTCAGACTGTGGAGAAGGCCCTGGTCTGAAAAACACTTAGTGTCCTTTCCAAGCAAGAGAAGCTATTTGCAAAATGTGCTTTAGACACCTGAATACCTAGGATTGTATGGTTACCCAGACTCCTACCGTTAGCTCCTCACTCTCTGGTTTGAGACGAGGATAGCTTTCATTCCACAAGTGTATATCGAATGTCCATGCATGCCAGGCCCTCTCCAGGAGGCAAGGACTCTGTGTGAACAACGCAAAGTCTCTGGTTGCTCACACGTCATGGAAGGAAGAAAGCAACCATCAAGTCAATCTATTCCATCGAGCAGAGTAGGAAGTAGAGGGGGCTGGGTTGGGACACACAGAAGCTACTTCACGTGGGGTGGCCCTGGAAGCCCTCAGTGACAAGCAGACATTTAGACAGACCTGGAAGCAGTCAGGGAGGGAGCTGCGTGGAGATATGGGGTGAGGCATCCCAGATGGAGGGGCAGTAGAGCAGGGGTCAGGCTTGGCATGGAGGGAGGAGTGTGGGAGGGGCCGAGGTCAGAGAGGAAGTGGGCAAGGGGAAAGTGCAGACCAAGTCAGGCCTGGTAGTCATCGTGAGGTGTTGGGCTTTTCCTCTTTGTGAGCTGGGAGCCGCTGGAGGGTGAGGACAGCTGTGTGACTAACGTTTATGAGGCTCACCCTCCCTGGCTGACAGCAGCTGGGAGAAGGGCGGTGTGCAGGACGGGCCAGCTAGTGGGCGGACTCTGCCAGAGATGAAGGTTGTCTGGAGAACACAGTTGCTGGAGGTTTTAAAAAGTGGCCACCGGGACCAGTGGTTGGCATAATGGCTATGTCGCTGGACTCCCACAGTCAACCACAGACCTGGTGACTTAAACTCATGCCAAGCATGTGTGTGTTTGTGCCCAAGATCCCGAGAAGAGAATGGAGGAGAAGGGATTGTAACATGGCCATCCCCCATGGAGGGTGATTTCTCGCTTTCCACCTCCCTGTCTCTTCTCTGTCTTTCTGGCGAGCGCACGCACCTTATAGCAAAAACCTCTCAAAAAAAAAAAGTGGCCACCTTCTGAATACACTTTAAAGATAAAGTCAACAGGATTTGTCAATGGATTGGATGTGGGATGTGAAAGAAAGGAGTCAAGAACAATCCCAAGGCTTCGGGATTTTTGTACATAATTGAAAAGAAGATTCTTTTTGCTACATTTGTTATCAGGAAATAACTAGGAACTTAGCCTGGTGATGTAGTTGGTAGTAAACCAAACTACAGTGCTGGAAGTCACATGGCTGACCACAGGTTCTGATCCCCAGGCTGGCTTGAAAACCTGTCAGGTGTATACACATATGCTAAGATCCTGACAGCTGGAGGGCTGGGGAAGGGGCTGCAGCATGACAAGACGCTGTAGAGGGTCTTTCTCTCTCTCTCACACACACACACTCATGCCCTTATTTTCAAAACAATAAATGAGACAACGTGGATGTGGGCTACCAGACGATGTTAATGCCACACACAGTGTGGGAAGTGGTTTTGAAGACAGAGACCCAAATATTAAAATGTATTGGATAGCTTCAATGCTTAAAGCTTCTGGGATCAGATGTGGAGCAAATATGTGAAACATGGGTGAGCCCATAAAAACATTATAACCCCTACTTTTCCTACCAGAATTCTAGAAATACCTTCTCATTGATTCTCTTCATTTCACAGCCAAATCACTCAAGCCAATGGGAGTTGGATGGACTGGATACTTTCCTGGTGAAGCAGTTATTAAAATGGAGGAATTACATGAAGTTTGTCAGTCTCCAGACACTTTCAGACTAAAGCAGTTATCATTTCTCCCAAAAGGGAAAACATCGCAGGATGATATGTGATCATTTGTCCATGTTCTTTATCCTGTCTACGATGCCTCTGTCCACAAGTTTGAAGTCATAGGTCTTTTTCACAATTGCTCACAGGTGGATGACTCATTTCCATTCCCAGTAGAGAATCACACATCCTTCCCCCTGCCTTCAAGCACTTATCCCTAGCAAATAAAATAAGGCACGAAAACATTTCTACTCCCATGGATTAGGGCACTCTGGTTTCAAATTCAGGAGGCAAAGAACAGCTCCATTTCTGAAATGGCTTTCCAATGAACCCGCTTCCCAACGGCCCAGGTCACCCTATGTCCCTGAAGGAGGAGCACCCATAGAAGGAAAGTGTCTCAGGACCAGCAATTGGCGTAATGGCTATGTCGCTGGACTCCCACGTAGTTGACCGCGGTTCGAGTCCTGGACCCGGTGGCTTAAACTCATGCCAGGCGCGTGTGCGTGCGTGCCCAAGATCCCGAGAGGAGAATGGAGGATAAGGGATTGTGGCGTGGCCATCCCTCTAGGGGGTGATTTCTCGCTTTCTGTCTCTCTGTCTCTCTCTGTCTGGTGAGCACACGCACCCTATAGCATAAACTTCTCCAAAAAAAAAAAGGAAAGTGTCTCTTTGGAAATTTACTTGGTGAGACAGTGGAACCCAAAAAAATATTCTCTTACAAAAGAGAAAGTCAGTAAAAAAAAGTCAGTTCTCCCTAAATGCAGAGTAAATATTCGGCTTCCTATTAACTGGCTTGATGATTTCTGTTTTTCACATTTATCATATTCATGACAGAAAGTGTGTGTGCATATATGAGAGAGGGAGAAACGGGGGCAGGAGATGGCACAGTGGTTAACCACTGGTGCTGGACTCCCACATGGTCAACTGCAATTCAAGTCTTCCCAGCGGCTTGAAACTCACACTGGGTGCATGTGTGCGCATGCCCAAAATCCTGAGAGGAGAATAGAGGAGAAGTGATTGTGTCGTGGCCATATCCCCTAGGGGTGGGGAGGAATTTCTTACTTTCTGTCTCTCCACCTCTCTGTGATCACACGCACCCTATACCAAAAAATCTCAAAAAAAAAAAAAAAAAAAAAGGAAGAAGGAGAGGGAAATGCCCTTGATAGAGTCTCATCGCATCATGACCCCCTCTCCCCAGCACTCCAGCTCATCAGGATTCCAGGTCCCAGTATGTGTGTCCGACATGTTTTAAGGACAACTATGGATCCAAACCGTGGTCAGCCAAGTGGCTGCCAGCACTGCTGTCCAGTTTGCTACAGACTGTGCCACCAGGCTGGCCTGAACTGAGATTTTTTTTCTTTAATGTTCTTTTATACGTCCTCAACCATAATTTGGGAAAAGTAAGAATGAAATACCCAAGGGTAGAAAGAGTTAAGAACCATGTATCGATCACAGGCGTACTGTGTGCACCCCCCCTTTATTTATTTATTTTTGTTTTTGTCATAGGGCACGTATGCTCACCAAAGAAAGAGAGAGGGAGACAGAGGGAAAGCGAGAAATCACCCACCAGGAAGGATGGCCAGGCCCAACCCCTCTCTTCCATTCTCCTCCTGGGATTTTGGGCACACACACATATGCTCCTGACATGACTTTCAAGTTGCCAGGTCCAGGACTCAAACCGGGTTCAGCCATGTGGGAGTCCAGCAACATGCTAGCTGCTGCCCCGCCAGCTAACCTTTTTAAGGGCAAAACATCTATGCATGCCTTCTCTCTAAAGACTTGCATAAAACACCACAATGTGTCAGATATGGATGAAACTGAATTAAGGATGGAAAGGGCCTCATCCAAACCAGCATCTCTGCACTGAGGTGTCCGCAGTCTCTTCTCCTGGGTTAGGAAGTCGGTAGGTTACCACCGTGTGCCTCCGGTTCCTTCGGTTGTGTGTTTCTTCTGTGTTGGTGGGGGACCCCGAGGAACATCGCAAAGGACTAGGTCTAGAGTCCCATGGGGTGTGGACCAGTCTGGTTTCCAGCCACCAAGTCACTTCAGAACCCACTTAGAGTCTCCAGGCCAATGGCACCAGTGGACACAGGAAATCACTGATTCATTCCCAGAACAACACAGACCCAACCCCAGAGCGAAACTCCTGTGGAGAGACTCTGGGCTGGTGCCCCCTCCACCAGGGCACACTAACCACCCTCGCCCGCGGCAGGTGGCCAGCAGAACAAGGCTGCCATTGGGCTCTCTACTCACCGGCTAGCCATTTCCTTATTTCTCTTGTACCATCCCAAACCACCAGCCACGACTGCCTGAAACACCTTTTCAAGAAAGCGGTGGGTGTGGCCTTGCAAGGGAGCAGGGTAAACACAAGAACAAAGTGAGTATTGAAAAGAAAAGACTATCTTAGAGGAAGTGAAAGAAGAGCAAGCCTCTTCCATCTTGCTGAAAATGAAAGCCCCAGGTATTTCCGAAGATGACGATCGCTCTCCCCAACCAAGGCATGTTTTGGATCCTCATAGCAAGTACTTCTGAACTGAGAAATAGGAGAATTATATTTTTCCCCATTGTAAAGAAGTGTGAGTCTGGGACTAGCAGATGGCATAATGGTGACATCCCTGGATTCCCATAGTCATCCGCAGTTCGAGTCCCTGACCTGGGAGCTTGCTGGGCATGTGTGCGTGTATGCCCAAGATCCTGAGGGGACACTGGAGGAGAAGGGACTGCAGTGTGGCCATCCCCCCTCCCAGGGGGGTGATTTCTCATTTTCTATCCCCCTGTCTCACTCTGTCTCTCCAGCGAGGGCACATGCCCTATAGCAAAAACATCTCTAAAAAATAAAAAAAGTATGACTCTGTCTCAACGAAATGGTAACAGTACTTGTGTGTGTGTATGCAAAGAGAGAAAATGCTTTGCGCTTTTCCAAAGGCTTCCCTATGTTTTCCTGTGTAATCCCCACAGCGTAACCATAAGGTGAACGGGATCATATAGAGCAAAAGCCCCAAGCCGGCTAAGCCTGAGTGCCAACTGCAGCTCATTTTTCAACTTGCTATGTGACCCTGTGCCAGGTATTTAACCTTATGATTCAGGGTCTTTGTAAAATGGACATCATAGTGCCTGTCTTGCAGAAATAGTAAACCATTAGTAATCATGTTTGGGGGATTGGGGAGCACTTAGCATCGTGTCTGGCCCATAGTGATAGCGGCATTGGGGGGAATAAGTTTGCGGTGAGAGAACTGGAGTTCGGGGAGACCAAGTGACGTGTCTTAGGTCTCAGTTCTGCCTCACTGGGGAGCCAGGACTAGAACCCAGGTCTCTGGATTTCTGTTCCTGATATAGCTGCTGTATCGCTGTAATTTCTACTTCATTATATATCACGGGACCACATCTTAGATAGCAACCTCTGTCATCCTCCATTTTTTTATCCTGCTTCTCCTTCTCACACACACGGAAGAACGTGTGTACATATCCTCAGAGAACGCCAAGGCTCCCTGTTTCTGTAGTACAGCATTTATAACCTGGTATTATGGACTCCATGGTGTGTGCTTCAAAGTTCATACGCTGAAGCCCCAATGCCATGATATTAGGAGGTGGGACCTTTCAGAGGTAATTAGGTTTAGAAAAGTCATAATGGTATGGTCCTCATGATGGCCTTAGTGTCCTTATAAGAAAAGACACCAGGAGACAGGAGAGACGAGGCCTTCAGAAGAAGATTCCTCATGGCTCCTGCGAACTAGTCCTTTCAGGGTACAAGAGAAATGAAGATTTTCTACTGATAATTCAGCCTCCAGCAAACAAGCTAGCATGAGCGATCACAACAGAATGGCAAAGAGATTCCAGATCACCTCTTTCTGCTTGCTCCTGAGCATTCAGATTGAACTTCAAGAATTAGAAAGAAACACACCACCCATCAGATGACTAGGAATCACTGCAGGGCCACAAGAAATATGGGGAAGCAAGAAAATACCTCTCCTCCAAGGTAAAAGAATAACTCCTCTTCATCCACAAGCAGTTCAATGCAAATCATGGAAATGTCTGATAAAGAGTTTAGAACATTCATAATGGCGAAGCTAACAGAGATGGAAGAGAAGAGATACAATGAACTGCTAAAGAGAAAGGAGAAAGAAGTTGACGAGTTCCAGGAGGTGAGGAAATTCTTGCAAGATCTAAAAGAGGAATTAAACACTTTAAAAAATAATCAAATGGGGGAACCAGCAGTTAGCGTAATGGCTATGTC